AAGCTTGGATAGCTCTTGGTACTGGATGTCCAGCGTGTATCCCAGTTTCTATCCATCCAATTGGAATTAAGAATCTCTTTCCACTGTGGTTATGCTGCTTAGATAAACAAGTTCAAGTATTGGGAGCAGTCCAGCCAACTGCTTAATCCTGCTTGCAGGACTTGCCAGCATGAAGACAGAAAGCAGCTGCTGATGGTTTTAGCCCATGCGGCTGCAGCAGCAATAATTTCCCTGGAGGCTAAAGAGCTGTTCCTGTGCCTTGGCAGTGTGGCCGGCACGTTCCCTGCCTCTCCCCAGGCAGAGGAGGAGCCGGGGTGCTCGAGCACGTGCCCTGCCCTGCCTGCGGCACGAGACCAGGCACAACTGCCAGGCACAGCTCAGCAGCGTCCGGGCAGAGAGGAGGTGACTCCCGGGGCAGCGTCACGGGGCCCTTCTGTCTCCACGAGCTTCTGCCTTGGCTTCACTTCCAGACGTAGCTCTGCTTGTCCAGACTAGCTCAATAAAGCCACAGTAGTTCAGTGCAGTTCGGGCATAGATACCCAGAGCTTTAAGCGTGAGCTAGCTGAAAGGGGAGGAATTGGAGCTTGCCTGCTTGGAAGGCACTACTGACACAACAGCTTGGACTAATAGTCCATTCAGGACTCATCCAGACTGATAAATCTCCCATCCCCGTTTAGCTGCAGTATACATGATTTAACTCACTTGTGTTGCACAATGAAGCTAGCTAGAAAAATGTAGTTTTTTCCAGGTGCAAAAATCTTTTTGTAGATTCTGTCTTTGAACACTTGGTGTCTCATTGTGGACCCATAATTCATATATTTCTGACTGATGCATGCACTCTGCAAGGGAGAAAAACATTTGTTGTTCCTCATCCTCCTCGGCACAAAAAGGAACAGGTTTGCAAGGCCTGCCACTAAAAACAGAGCTCTGCCCGAGTGTCCTGCAAAGGCTGCTCCGTTTGGGACAGCTCGAGGACGGGAAGCGGCTGCCTGCGCGCCCTGGATCGCGGCGTGCCGCTGTGACCTGGCTGCCTCGCGTGCTGCCTCTCCCTTCAGGCAGCCTGGGCCTGTGCTCAGCTACGGTCCTCCCCGTTAGGGCAGCTCCAGGTTTTTGAAACATGTTCCTGACAGTCTGAATTAAAAAGTCAAAGCAAGAGACTGTTCACACTAAGGCCTTGAGGCTGCACTTCAGCAATAGAATAAATCCAGCTTTAGGGCTCCTCATAGGGGATCAAAACCCTCAGAGCCTCATGATAGCGGATGTAGCGCCAGTGTAAACTTGTTCTGCGGATTCAGAGTTGTTTAGGACACGTTGGTAGATTAAATTTGTATTGATAGACTTGATGCCAGGCTAGAAATAATTTATACTCCATCAGCCAAAATAAATCTGGAATAAAATGCATATTGCTTAGCTGGAATGTGGTGATATGGCTAGATTTGAGATGAAATTATCACTGTGCCGATCTGAGATTAGCACAGAGCACAGCCGCAGCTCAGCAGGGCAGCCAGGCCATCACGCCTTGCTCTCCTGCTGCTGTCTTTGCTGGGGGACTGAAGGATTGCAAAAGTTTAATGCTGAGAACTCTAAGAAGTCAGCACTTGAATTAAAAAACAAAAGACGCCTCAAACACTTGGGTTTTGACGTTACTAGAAAACCAGGTTTTTCTCTGACCTATTGCAAGCTAATGTTTTAGTAACTCTTCACTGCTGTTTCTCTGCATATGAAACAAATTTGGCAGATACTCTGGAAAAGGTATTGCTTTCCATCTTGAGACTCTTCCAAATTTGTCTTGAACCTGCTAAAGGGCTTAATCTGACTCTTTTTCTGGGGGCCTGGATCAGCATAACTCTTAAGAGCATCCCAGCTGCCAGTGAACCAGCTGGGCAGGACTGTTCAGCTCCTTCCTTTCTTCGCAAAAGTAATACTGGGGGTGCAAAGCTCTGTTGTGCACCAGCAACCTGGTGACTGCGTTGCTCACTTACAGCATCCCTCGTGGCAAAGCCCCTGTTGTGGTCACCTTCCACCCGTGAACTCCAGCACCGCATCCTTCCCTCTGCAAAACCCCCTCTTGGAATGAGGGCTGAAAGCCACAGCTCTGCCCATGAATTCTGCTTTGTCAGTTCAGCTGCAGGTTGTCACAGCTGGCTTGAGCATAACGGAGTGATGATCTGTGCTCTTAGAAAGTGCACTTAGAAAGTGATGTGGGAAGGCAACAGAAAGGTGTCTGAGCTCATTTCTAGTTTCCTAACTCTCAGACTCTGCCATTTGTGTTGAAGGAAGGATGAGAGGTATTTGAGATTTGCTCGAGCTCTCGTGATACCAAGTTGGACTGTGATAACCAGAAGCAGGAAAACACTCTGTCTCCTTGGTGGGAAGTAGGCAGAGCTGTTCACTGGGGACTAATTCTTAATATTCAAGTGTTTATGAATGCTCATGTGAAAAATCTATTTTTTATGATATTAAATTATTTCATAGCAAAGTGGATTTTGGAACAATTCAGGAACTTTGTCTTTCTTTCTGGTTTTGATCATCAAATTGAATATATTGGAGTGTAAGGCAGAGATTGCTTTAACCTTGTTCTTTTAGATACAAATAGGTTTTCCATAGTTTCTACATGTCTATTACACTGCTGCAATAACTGAAAATAGAATGACTGAAGTACACATAGTTAATTATGTTAATACAAAGGCCTGATTACAGTTTATCCCACCAAATGGGTAACCTAAGATGAAAGTGCTTTTACTCACTGCAGGAAATTTTTCAGCTTTCTTTAACAGACAGATTGCTTTAAGCATTATTCATTTTGAATGTGAAGATGATTGATTCTAATTACTGTCCGTTGTGGGTTGAGCTTGGTGATTCATACTGTAATTCATCATGTAACTTAGTGATAGTTTTCTGTAGGAATTAGGTACCAAGAGATAAAACAAATGAGAAGACACATTGAATCCTTGCTTCCTACTTGCCAGCCCACATCTTTAAGGATAACAGCTTAGATGCTGACTCTGTTTTTTGGAGAGAGGAAGGAAAAAAAAAAAAAAAGAAGGTACTCTGCAAATTAGCTAGCAAAAACACACAGCAATAAATATATCATGCAAAAGGTTATCCTAAAACTATATTATCTGTATATGGCAACTGTAATGTTCTGAAATATGTTGGGTGAATAACTTTGTGTTGCTTGCCAGGTTGCTGGTAGCTCCTTTTTGAGGGCTGTTCTCAATCAATTGCAAGGAGTAAGACTCTGGTTAATGGATAGAGCTTATAGCAGTATTTTAAATCAGCATAACTTCCTGTATTTTTCCTTGTCATGTGAAGAGTGAATTTTTAAAATAATAGGTTTGCATTTTCTTAATTAAAAATAGTGCAAAATAAACTTTCAGACATGAAAGGGCGGATGATTAACTCTGCCTGAGGTTAGCAAAGATAATGAAGGCAGGGAGGGACAGGGAGGCTTGGCAGTGCTGAGCTTCTAAAATATTTTTCTTATTTGGTGCAGGGACTGGCTTGAAGTGCCGTTGTGTCATGCCCCGGGTTTAGTTTCTGTTTGAAAAGAGAGGATGGTTTTCGCCTGTGTTGGGAGTGTGAGCGTTCGTAGGAAGCTGTGTGCTGTGTGTGTAGAGGAAAATGACCACAGTGTGTTTGTACTCGTCAGTTTTGTAACTCGTGGTCAGAGCTGATCACAAAAAAATCAAATAAAAAGACAATTGGAGAGAGAAGCAGTGAGGTTTAGTCCAGGATGCTGCTTCGTATCAGTGTTTTGGTTAAGAAAACAAGCTTCTGTGGGCAACTTTAGGCACTTGGTGCTGCACGTCTGCAGCCGGTCATTGCCAAAGCACTGTTCAATGTCTTGATTTTCCAGGCAAGGTCCTGGCACGCTATCGGTTTCAGTGGATCTTTTGCAATTTGATTTTAAAGGGCATTGATTTCCTTCCTACACAATTGTGTCACAATTACACAAAATAACTCAAGGGAGCTAAAGCATGCAGTAAAAGCTGATAGTTAATTACATCAGTCAGTGAAATAGTGGTGCAGAAAACACCTGAGGATCGATCCCTCCCATTCCCTTGTCTTTAGCTAAGAGACAAGGTGAGATTTAAATGCTCAGGAGCTAATGAGCGTCGGTATCTAGAAGCTTTCCGCCCCGGTCTCCAGCTTTAAACAGCCGTTTGTTAGTTATACAGGTACCGCTGTGACCTGTCAAGCCCTAGCAATTAGGTAAGACACACTCACGCACACACAATGCTGTAGAAAACTCCCTAAAAGGTTCTTTGGAATACCGTGACAGTCGAAGAAAATTCTGATGTAATTCTGACAATTCTGAATAATACAACTGATAATTCCACTTAGATATATTTGCTCTCTGTTAGTATAGTTTTAATTAGTCTTATGCATGTTCTTTACTCAGATATGACATATAAATAAAATCTTGGTCTTTGGTGACTTCCACAGAGTTCCAAAGATTGCAGAGGCTTCAGTTTTGAACAGCTCTTTGAGCTGTGTTTTGGAGCACGCTAAGTGGCCTGGCTTGATTCCTCTGTGACTGCCAAACAAGTTGAGGTGAAAGAGGATGCTCAAGTATCTACTGAGTTGCTTGTTTTCCTTTCTAACTGAAGGCTGTTTTCATGCTCAGCTTATGGTCAAATTAATTGAAAGATGGAAAGAGAAGGAGGGATAACAGCTCTTCAAAATAATTACCACTAGATAATTTCTACCTAATTATTATTTCCAATAAACTTGAATCATTCTCAGTACCACTCTGTTTGCGTAAGACTTTTTATCCTTTTTTTGAAGTCAAAAGCGTAACTTCTGCTTCTTTTGAGGGACTGTTGATTTCATTATATCATTTATGCCCTTAATATCTTTGTAATTTTTATTATTAAATTTACGTATCTATATACATATCTGTACATATAGATGTGTATAAATCTACATATCTGTATATTTCTGCCATAGCCCATGAGCTGATCTGTGGTTTTGCTGGATTGTTCCGGTTATTACATCCCAACCTGAGTTCCATCTAACTTGCGCATCTGGTTTGCTCTGTGCAGTTGACACTCCAGATCCCTACGTGGAGCTGTTCATCCCCTCAGCCCCCGACTGCAGGAAGAGAACTAAACATTTCAATAACAACGTGAATCCCGTGTGGAATGAGACCTTTGAGTTCATTTTGGACCCCAACCAAGAAAACATGCTGGAGGTAAATGACCTGCATGAGGTGTAGCTGTGAAGTGGAAGTTTGAGCAATGTCTGGAAGGTTGGTGTAACGGCATCTGGTACATGTGCAGCATCTGTTGTCTCAAGATTTCCAAGATTCTCTTTTAAAACATTCAAGGCTCCGTTTTGCATTTAGGTGCTCAGCAAGAGCCTAAGTGTATGGGCTGTGTTACTCGAGGAGCAGCCTCGAGAGCCTTTGTGAGGCAGGCTGCTGAATCGCCCCTCGCGCTGCTCCCGCGAGCTCGTTACCTTAATGTCCTTCACGTCAGTGCCAAGTTAGGGCCTCCCCGCTTCCTTTGCTGATTCAGGTGTGTAGCTGGGGTCAAGTCCAGTCGCTGCCCATTCCCTGTGCCTCCCTGAGGGGGCACAAACCAGAAGCGTGGCTCTTTCTCCCTGTGCCTGAAGCCAAGCTCTGAGTCGCCCGCTTAGAGATGTTTTGAGAACCTTTACTCCATATGCAGGTTTGTTGACTAAGCCGCCATCTCATCCGAGTTCATTAAGCCTTTCTGGGTTGGGTACAAAAGGTGAGTGTAGCTATTTTGTATGTGGATGTGGAAAGTATTTGTCGGTGGTGCTTTGTTAGTTTGGTGCTCTTAAGGGATGTTGCTAAAACATGAGTCCTCTTACTCTAGCTTAGGCTTGTTTTAGATTTGGTTTAGCTTTGCAGATGGGCGATTACCTGGAACATCTTCCAGCAGTTGGTCAGGGGCACTAATCACCTGAGTCTACTCTCACCAAATATTTTAGTCATGCACGTGCAAACTAACAACCTGAAGCCTGAGAAAAGTTTGAAATCTCTAATTTCCATTATATTTTCCCAAAGAGCAAGCCAGCCGAGTGACTGGGGATCAGGAATCAGAGGACTGAAGCAACTCTGTTTCTTTATGAGAAACATTTGTAGAAATGGAGAGGAAGAAGAAAAGAAGAACTTGGGTTCATTGACCTGCCTCTGTTGGGAAATAAATATAATATAGGAAATAAAAATGTTATTTTTATACCTGATGAAACTGTGTAATCCTTTTCTGAGCCTTTGATTGCAGATGAGCAAATAGTAGAAAACAATGTGATGTCTGAACAATTTTTAATAGCTTCAGGTGTCACGATCAGATAGTAAAGCTTTTGAGTTTAGCTTAAACTTCTATTATAATTTCATCTAAAATAATTGTATTTATAATTAAATGACTGTCTTTAATTTTTTAACTTCTGTAGATACTGCCATAAATCCTGTGTCTTCTTGTAGGAGCTTTTGCAGTTTTCAGTCTCATCCCTTGTAAAGAAAATACAAAGTCTGGGATGGTACTGGGTGTTTTTATGCTTGCATTGTACATGCAAGTGAACTGCCTCAGCAGAAATGTGTAATAGAACTTATCCTTCCAGTAACATACTGGAGGGACAAACAAATGAAAATAGTATGAGAAAGGGGAAAGTAAACTATGTAACTCTGCTTTTGAGTTATACTTGTATCTTTTGTCAAGTTCAGCGTCGTTCTCTTGGTTGTAACCAACAAACTAGCGAGGTGTAATAGAATCAGCATCTCCATCTTGATTAAGACTTGGATTGAGTCTTAGAATTTCTTTAGGCTTTTTTTCTCATGCATTTATGAGGTGAGATAAGGTACAAGTTCTGAAATGGGATCGCAAAAAGTTTCTTAATAGGTTTTGTGCCCTCCAGGATGCTGGATTTTGGGAGATAAGGAAACAATGCCAAAAGATCGGCTCGGATTCTTACAGTGACGCTTAGGCAGCTTTCCTGGTAACATATCAGTGTGAGTGTAGAAGTTGGCTCAGTGATTGAAGAGGACAGATTACTAAGTCATGAACAGCAACGGCTCGTGGCTTATCCGCTGCCTCCCGGGGATCACGTCGTGCGTGTCGCACTCGCAGCCGTGTGGAGAGGCTGCGACGTGGCGAGCCCGTCGGCCCTGACCGTGGAAAGCTCATGGCTATTTTTGGCCAGGGTGCGGCCTCACTTATTCACTTTGTTCTGCGGTAGCAACGTGACTAACTCCCTTCTCGCCGTGAGGAGAACCCCAGATACTAAAACCTCTCCTCCACATGGGCTAGCATTTTATGAGGTGATTCTTGGGTTTATAGACTAGCTAGAGAGCATAGGATTTTATGAGGTGGCCCTCCATTGATTTCCAGCATACTGTTTTCCATACAGCTACTGCATACTGCTGGACTTCTGTAAGTCTGTGTTTCCTGTAATGGAACATAATAGGAATCATTGTAAGTAGAGTCTGGAAACATTTCCTTGTTGTTATTTTAATCAAAATCTTTAATTCGATCCCAAACACAGCTTTCACTTTGAAGAAATCCCCTGGAGAATTTTTGCTCTTGCATTGGTTTTGTGAGACAGCAGTTTTCTGTGAGAAAGCTAACAAAAAAAATGCAGATGCCTTTTAAATAATGAGTTCTATCTGAACATGCAGTTCGTCTTTTAAAAGATTGCCAGTGGCACAGGATGAGGAAGATTCTTTACAAATGAGGAAAGATTGAACCCAGATACAGCAACTAGTCATTCAAGTGACTGTGTCTTTATTCCATTCATTTCATGTAAAAGATATGGTCCAAGCCGCAAACTTAGGATACTTTAGAAGATACAGTTCCACAAAGTGGGAAAAAAAAACCCCATAAGCCAAATCTATTTGGAGAACTTGCTTAATAGGAACCATGTAAATGCTAATTTGAAATTCTTTTTCACCATCTTGAGAACTTGGAAAGTTCATTCTGAGGAAAAAAAGACTGCTAGATGTAGACCCATGTGGATGTGTGGAAGCATCTAATGGTGTTCTTTAATATCCACATAAGGGTTTGGATGGTGTCACATCTACAAAAGGTATATGTTCTGGCATGGAGGATATGAGAGGAGGCTTGATCTGGTTGAATACAAAGAAAAGCTTTGTGTAATATACAATGCTGGAAGTTTTGCCAAAACATTACAGTGAAATTCTTGTTTTTTAGATAGAGGGCTAGGGTGTGCAGATCCTGTTTCGATCTTTCCTGGGAAGTGACAGTCACGTTAAAAGTTTTAATCAGTTTCTTCGTGGACAGATTTTATTAACTGGAAGTTTAAAGATAAAGTAGATCTGTTAAGAAAGGTGGTGAGATTTCAATGATGGGAATGTGCTCAGATGAAAAATGCTTTGTCAGTGGTACTGTCATATTTGTGCCATGAAGTGCCTTGGAATCGCCACATACACTGTGCATGAGCATTTTCTTCAAAAAAAAAATACTGCTGCTGACTAATACTGGGCATTGGCTGAGTTTGTTGGTATGAGTCTTTTCGATTATCCCCCTTTTTATTTTAATTTCAAGCATAGGCTGCATGGAGTTAAAAATGTCATTGTTAAAGTAGAATTAAATACCTGTGTGTTTTTTTTACAGGTCACTTTGATGGATGCTAACTATGTAATGGATGAGACTCTTGGCACATCCACATTCCCTATATCTTCTCTGAAACTGGGAGAGAAGAAGGAGGTCCAGTTAACTTTCAACAATGTAAGTTGCAATACCGGATAGCTTCACCTTCCGTGCTGCAGCGTTGGACATGATAGAAAGCTCTTATAGCAACATCTAGACTTCGGCTAGATCAGTGCAGACCATGTTTCAGTCCTTTATCAGGTGTCTGAATTCTAGCTCTGCTGTATTCTGGTTAAAAACATCTTCACAAATCACCTAAAAGTGGCTGCTTATAAAAGGTCAGGAATCTCAGCAAGCCTGAAGTATCTCAGAGTGATAGCCGGGCTTTCTGTTGAAGGATCAGAGGTTTGACCTGCTGTTAATATCCATTACCAGATAAAGGGAAATCCAAGATCATTTCTGATTCTGCCAGTCTTCCCCAGGGCTATGCATGGAGTTGTTTTCTCAGTGTTAAATTAGGGTTTAATTTCAGGGATGGATTAGAATACATCATGAAGTGGGTAATGGTGGCAGCCTTTCTGTCAGGAAATTGCTGCATTTTGCAGGGCTTGGGGTAGCCCAAGTGAGGATTGCTCTCTGCGTGCCCTGCTCTGGCACTCACTCCTTGTCTTAGCACTCACTCCTGGACCTGGTTACACACACAGCACTGGCCTAATGGAACTATATTTGTCTTCCTAAAATCCTCCTGAGAAGCAGAGGGTGAAGGAGAACAGTGCTACTGAACGCTTCATCATGTCTCCCTGGCAGCCCTCTTTGGAGCTCGAGGTTTAAGCTCTTGCGCTGTAACGCGTTTCTGCAGCGCTCGCTTCGTTTGTCTTGGTGGAGTTTATCTAAACGTGAGAGGCTGTGCAGATGGTGCCGTGCGGCATGTTGCATCTCCCAGCAAGGCACTGGGGCAGCTCCCACTGTTACACAGCACGCTGCCAACCAGCGGCTGCTTGTAACGCAGCCCTGGCTGACGTGTCCTAGGTACTGCAGCAGGGTGGCTGCTCCAAAATTAAGGCAAGTGCCCTTTGGATTATTCTTGTTAAGCCTGTATACAAAGCAAATGGAGTCAGCTTAGCAGGGTTGGTTTGCTTGTACATAATTCCTGGAAACAATTGGTAAATCCATGTGTAATTGGACTTTTTTCTGAATATGTTAAAACCCTGTCATTTGTTGTTATACCAGTCTGAGGCCATTCTGAACATAATTCATTAGTTATAGTTACATGCGTCACCTCTTGTCATCTTTGTGTAGCGTATGCATTTCCCGTTTGGTCTGTGGTTTATTATATGGTCTTGTCTTCTGTGGTGACTATTGCTTTCAATGTGACCTAACCATAAAAGCAATTAACTGGTTATGGCCAATTTACTGGAAATCAGATTTTGTATGCAAAGTTTAAGGTGTGAGAGGTGAGATGCTGAGAAAGAGCCAATGAGTTTATGGCAATGAATAAAGAAGAAATCATGGTATAAAAAGTTTGCCTTAATAATATTAAGGCCTTGCATATATATTATAGGTATGTATTAACTTCCTATCAACACACAGCAAAGATTTGTGGAGTGCATAGAGAAAAATCTTAGGGAAGAAAAACAAATACACTCTGAAGTTTATAAGCGAGTAGGGAACATCAAGTCAGGCTGAGCCAATTTGTATAGGTATATGACAATTTGTATTCCTGGGATTACCGTTGCAGTCTGCATAAAAGTCTAGCCAATACATGCTCTTTTCCTATTGGGACACTTAATTTAAAGAATGCATACATTTTTTTTTTTCAACCACTATATTACTGCGTATTTTCACAAATGCTTTCTAAATTGGTAATATAAGGTGCTGGCATAAAGTAATTACTGCTCTGGCTTTGAACCGAATGACTCTTCAGTCTCTTTGGTGCTTCCTTTATTATTTCTTTGTATTTTCTGCCACCACCTTCTTAAGAAATGCCTCATTTGCACTTCCCATTGCAGAGCGCAGCGGTTTGGTGCCCGACTCTGCCCGGCCCGTCGGCAGTTGGCAGGATGCGGGAGGCCAAACGGAGCATGACGCTTGCAGGGTGTGCAAGGGGCAGGCACGCGTGTCACCGGCAGCGCTAGCCCCGCTCCAGCTCTTCTGATGCCCTTAAATAGTCTGCAGAAGGAGACCAACCCATAGCTTACGAGCCGAGTGGTTTTCCGTGGCACACAAAAGTGTCTGAAATCCCCATCTCCTGCCCTGTGAGTAGCACAGTCAGAAAGTCTTGGTCAGCAAAAGAAAGCCAAGAGAAGGGGATCTATCTGGTGGAAGTCAGTACCCAGCATCACTACACAATTTCCAATGGTATTCAGTGCTAGTGATGTGTTTGGAGCACTTATGTACGTTTCAATAAAGATCACCTAGAAATGAAACTCATTTACATAGTTCAGACATCGTTTCTTCTTTACTTGCAACAGTAGTTATTTACATTCCAGGTGAGTTTGGTGTTTTTTCCTTCTACAAATGATGTAATCACATTCAAATATTCCTTGTTTAGGTCACACAATTGACTTTGGAATTGTCTCTTGAAGTCTGGTAAGTATCTCATATAAAAAATGTGTTACCAACAAGGGTAATGTTTGCCATATTCTATTCATTATATTTTCCCTAAAATAATGTTGAGGGCAAAAGTTGATTGCTTTAACATTGAACTACCAAATACTGAAAAATCGAGAGATTAAATGCCTTTTTTTTCCCCATGGAGTAATCGCATCATAGTTGTAAACACCAGCACTTGTATGAATAGTTTTCTGCTTTCCAAATGTTTGCAAGAAGCAGAATATGAGAGTTTCCCATTCTGCTCTATGTTAAGTGATTTCCATTCCCAAGGCTCTTCCTTTCATAAACTCATGGACTTGAGGCTCAGCCACGATCCTCCTCATTTTACTTTCTGTGGTATCTTGGCATCTCTTGTTAACTTTCAGGATATATGGATGCACTTCTACAAACCGACCCTAAAATCTATTTTATGTATGAAGTGTTTTACTCACCATGCAGTTTTGAAGTCGAACATATAGATGGATCTCAACGGGGCCAGGATTTTGCCATGTAAAGCTAAGCAGGTGCCTGCCATGTTTTCTCTAGACATCTTTCTGTTTCTCAGACTAGCTAGGACAAAGACCAAAAATTGCCTTGAGGCATCATCAAAAAACTGAGAAAATTAAGAATGAGTCGCCCTGCATAAAAAGCCATTAGGAGAGTCCTTTGTAGCTATAAATAGCATCACTAAAGGCTAAATGTAAATGTAGAACTCTTTAGTAATGCCTTTGGAGACCAGTAAGCATTTCTCAGGGATAATTTCTGCTCATTGTTTTCTACTAGTGGAGATGCCTATGTAGGTGGTCCTCAAGACCACCCTCACGCTTCCAGGTCTTGTACCTTGTGAGCACATTTCTCCTGCCTGGCACTCAGCAAGCTTAAGGTGCCTGTCTGTGCCTGGCTGCTTGCAGACAGCAGGCATTGCACCTAAAGGAACCAGCCAAGTTAAACTCAGGGATGCTCTGCCAGGCAGGTGGATTTTGGAAGCTACCCGGATCTCTAGATTGCCTTTGAGTAGCCAAGATACTTAGAGTGTATCTTCACAGAAATGTGTGTTTCGGTGGGACAGATATCAGGAAAACTTAGTGCACTTCTCCCTGCTGCTCTCTGCTATGGGCAGTGCTGAAATGAGCCACTTGTGCAAGTTTGGGCACGGGAGAGATCTCACTGAATTAAGTGGTGCTCATTCACAGAATTAGTGAGGCGTTGGGTTACCTCTTGGCTGAATATTCTCAGGCGTTTTCTGAGCACTTTTTGCTGAAGTTGCAAAAGAGTATACGTTAGCCTTTTATTGCTCCATAGAATCACTTGATGCAATTGTATCCCATGCATAATCATAATATCATTTCATTTCTTCTCATGTAAGGTAGTATGTTCCATTCATATCCCTAGGTGGTTTGTATTTATTTTAGTTCTGTTTTGAGCTACGCTATTTGTTAAAGCCTGTCTGTTTTGCAAAATAGCTCTTCGACCGACCTTCGATTCAGCATGGCTCTGTGTGATGAGGAGAAGAAATTTCGGCAGCAGCGGAGAGAGAACATCATGCGCAGTATGAAATCATTCCTAGGAGAAGAAAGCAGCAGGAACCTGACCACTTCCCGTGATGTAAGTCTGGAGAGCTCTGAGTAATAGGATTGCACGTCAAGATCAGGATCACTTTTGGAACCCTGTGTTTGTGAGTGAGTGAGAGATGAGGTGGAAGGGTTTAGTGTAAAGACAGTTAGCAAAAGGAACACAATTTCTGTTATCTCTGCTCACCTGCCATACTTAGGATGGAGCAAATGAGCTCCATTAATGTTAGAGTTAGCTTAGAAATATTTTTATTTCCTTCCCTTCTTCTTTTCCCTTCTACAGGATTAAGATTTTGAAGCTTAATTCTTAGAGATCACGAGATGCCGCAGTTTCCTTGGCTCACTGGGTCCTGGTGCTCTGTACTTCTGAAATCATCCCAACAGAGCTGGATGGACTGATGGCAATTTGGGTCATATCAGAATGAGAATTTTACTGATTTCTCAGTGATTTCATACAGCACTGCTTTATTTTGAGTTAGTTAAGGATACAAATGGTACAAATCCACATCCTTTTTAGTGGCTTGTTCATCCTCTCCTTTCCTTCTTGCTTATTTTCCTGTCTCGTTCTCCTCCCTGAGCTTTGGCAGGACGGCTGTCTAGGAGAGTCAAGCAATGAACTGAGTTAATTCAGCTGGAGTAAAAATGTCAATTCTTTCAGTGCATTTTATTAGAATGTAGCAGTTTTCTGCAAAAAAAAAAAAAAAAGGGAACCAATACAGAGTTTTTCTAAGAGTCTTTTCTAAACTGCAATGAATTTTTGAGTGGGTACTAACAGTGTTATTAGTATTTAGTTATTAGCTTTCTTTTAGCCAGTCAGATGTGCTAACATGAGCTTTCCAAGGAAGCTGACAGAATTTGAGCAGTATCATGTGTATTTCATCTGCAGTGATATTCATCACAGACATCGAGGAAGAATATTTGTGAGTCTTTTTTTGTCTTAGTTTGCATTGCAGTTATTTTATTGTTGATTGACACATGCACATTTTATCAGAATGGATACTTGTGGATGTGATCTCAGTCTAGCACAGACTAACATCTTCTTCTGAAAGACTGCAAAGATATTTTGTCAAGCTCCAAACTAGAACTGGAGCGATAGCCAGGGCCTGAAGTGTCTGCTTGATGCAGGTGATCTGAGTGTACGAATAAACCCTCATGATCGTGGTGGCTGCTTGAGCTTTCATGTTCTTTATACCATCATCTTCCCTCATGATACCTTGCAGCCTCACGTGCTCAAAGGTTGAAGTGCCAGTATTTGCTGACTGCAGGTTTCATCCACCCTGGGAAGGACTGAGGTAATGTGATCCCTCCCATTTCCACATGCCAAATTTGTAGTTCTAAGCTGACTTGTCAAAATTTTTAGCTGCTTCTAGCACTGAAGAAACATTTTTTGTTGTTGTCGTTCAGCTTAAAATACAGTTTTATCCTTATAACCTGTCATTTTTACTTTTATTGCTGCAGATCAGAGATAGCAGGAGGATTTATGGGATGTCTGTAGTCTTCACATGGCAGCAGAAGTCCAGAGACATAATGAGTTTTCTTTGCTGCCTATGAGTCATTGTTTGATCTTAAACAAGTCACTTACTCAGAGTTCACCTAAGTTTCTCCATCTGTGAATAGCAGCACATGTGCCTTGCAGGGATGCCGTGAGACTTAAATACATGTGAAATAATTACACATCCCCAGATGGGGAGATAAGTGTGCACTTACAGGCCTCTGTACTTAATTTTGAAACACATTCTGAAAAAAATGGTGAATGAGACTTCTGGTACCTCTGTTATTGCTTAGTTCATTTTTATTGCTTTTCTGGGTCTAAATTTTCAAAACTAACATGATCAGTTAAAGCAGACACACAGTTCTCTAAGGCTAATATTTTTTGGCCACCTATATTTTTGTCCAGTTTTTTTACATTCTGTTTCCAGGACAGCTGGACAAAAGACATCTGTCCCACCCATTCCCATAACAAGATTTAATATGTTCTAGGGTTTTTTGCCAGTTTGCTGGAAAATATGATTAGGATGGTCTTTTTCTTCAGAACTCACTTTGCTTAAAGCCTTCTTTGTTTCCCACCTCCTTGTCATTTTCCTGCCTGACTAGGCAGCTCCTTTTGAAATGAGATGCCCGTCAACCGAAGAGGGACTGTGTCATCCACACAGGCCCCCTTGCATCCTAGTGGTGCTGCACATGGATTGATGGACACTGCCCATGTTGTTGAGTCTTCTTCACTGGAGTGAGTTGGTTGAGGTGATATCTAAGCTTGTTTGTTCAACACTAGCCGGGTTGCTCTGTATGGTGCCATGCAGGCGAGCCAGGGGAACAGGGAAGCCTTTTGGTAGTTCAGAAGCGGACACAACCCTGTTGTGTGGCAGCACGGCCGGGCATCAGAGCAGGACTCCCGAATTCACTTCTCATGTTGCCGCCGACCCAGCGCGTGACTTGGTGTGAGTCATTCACCCTTTCAGGCTCGGTGTGCTGAGCCGCGCGCGGGTGCTGTGCCTCTGCCCAGGTGTAGCTGACTGTGTACCAAGGGCTTTGGCCTCCGAGCGCGTCCGCCGCGCCGGGCAGGCCTGCAGCCCTCCCGCTCCTCCCGCCTCCTCTCCGCGCTTTCTCCATGGCCAGCTGGCTTCTCGGGTCTCTTCCCTCCCACCATCGGCACTGTGCGTTCCATAGCAGAGCTTGCCAGGCATGTGGGGTTTGAACTGTTACCTTTTCTTACCTTGCAAGCTGTTGGAAGCTGAATTGCAGCTGGAAAACCTTTCCAGCAAAGCTGTTTATTTGCCTAAGGAATAAATTGGCAGATAGTAGTAAATGAAGGAAAGCTGGTGCATAGCCGGAACATAAGAAATTGAGAAACCTAAGTGCAATAATTGTTACTTTCTGGCCATTATTTTGGCGTTTGATAGTTTTATTTACCATGGGAGCCTTGCTTAAGCTACTGAGGTTTGTCTGTGGTGCTTTTTGGTTGGATTTAGTTTCTGTAAATAAAGCAGTGACTTGTACTTCACTGCTCTCAAGTTTGTCTTTCATCATATCAGTTAAAATAGAAGCAAAAATACTTCCAGCCCACATGGAGCCCTTTTAAACCATTGCTGGCACAGGGTTATCAAGTGATTCCTGTACCTACACATATTCTTTGTCTCTCTTCCCTCCCTGCAGGACACCCTAATTATTGGGATGTCTGTGCATTACAGGAAACATTTTTGGTCAGGATGCTAGTGACTCTTGGCGTTATTTTATTGATCCTGTTTACAGATTTCTCTGCATGCTGAAGGAAACTCGGATTTTCCTTTGTGCTCGTGCCATTTTGATGAGTAGATTTGGTGAACTTGGGAATGCTCATACAAACTGCTTCCAGGCTTGCACCTACAGCCACCTTTTCTTCATCCTGTTGGGATTTGCCTGCCCAGGTTAATTAGCCTGTGTTGGTAAAGAGCTTTCAAAGCTTAGAATACATTCATAAATGTGTGATTAGTAATATGTCTCTTCTGTTCAAAGCAACTGCTCCGTTATTGGGGTGTTGTCTTAACAAAACAGGCACGTCCTAATTCTTTGCCTTCTTCTTTGTCATTTCTTGATTAATAGCTATCTCTGTAGGTGCATGATGAATACTGATGCCAATAAATACCTGCGGCTCCTGTTAGTAGGGCTTAATGCTCATAGAGAAAAAGATCAAATAATCTTGCTGGATCAAGAATCAGTATTTTATTTTTGCAGAACAGAAGCATCAAGATAATTTCCCAGCTTATTTGGTCCTCCCGAGGGGTCATCTCTATGTGGCTGCATGTGCTTTCAGCCTGCTCAAATTACCAAGTCTCCTAGAAGAAAGTGAACTCACTAGTCCCATGGGTCCCACCTACTTTTTTTGTTATAACTGGTTTGATCCTTACCACGTTTAATAGAGTTTTGGTGAAATTTTTGGCTGATTACCAGCTTGATTAAATACAGGCTTTCTGCACAAATGTGGATTTTGTAATGCTAAGTAACACCAAGCAGGTTGTTACCTTGTCACCACTGAACAGTGTAAGATTCTTCTGGGTTTCTGAAGTTGAAAGGTAGATGGGCCACTGGCTTACACTAAAACACTTGCTGATAGCAGTTGACTATTTGTTGCATTTTGTCTTCTTTCCTCATACTCGAGGAAGCCTAGAAAAGTTGGGAAATTTAGAAGGAAATACAGAAGATATCCTGTAGATAAGATTTCAATGTGGTGCTACTGGGTGTACTTTTAATCATTTTGGATGCCATAGTAGTTGAAGAGGTGTAAACGTGCACATAAACTCTTTCCTTCTGTAGTTTTTTTTGCATGGTGGTTTTCTCTTCATGCTCTGTAGTAATATCAACTTTTAAATGTATTTTTAAACTCCTAACCCAAATGTTATTTAACTCTGTTCTGTTTCTAATTTGTAACTTCTGCTGCTTTTGGCTCTGTCACACAGACATTTTTTTAGATTAAGGCTGGTCTTTGGATTGCAATAAACATTTCTGTGTGTTGTAGCTGTCTATGTAGTTACTAAAGTACTAAATCTCTTCTGTTTTGTTTATTTCCTGGATTATGGGTGAGCAGGACAGGCATTTTTAAAAATGTGTGGATTTATTTTTATGTACAGGTCTTGCTACAATTGCAGACTTCTGCAAATACATTCTAATTCTTCATATATGGATCAGAGCTCCAAAGTAACAGATTGTTGAGGGAGCAACAGCTTACAAATGCCGAGAGCTGACTTGATTTATTCAGTCATTTTGTAGATTAATTGATTGTTCTTTGAAATCTGAAGTTCTATACATGTGTTTCAGTGGACTGGAAGCTATGGCCAGTCCTCAGTATTTTACATCTACTTTTTTCATTTAACTATATGACTATAGTTCATCTAACTATAGTCATATGAACTATATGACTATAGTTCATTAACTATATGACCGATGTAAGCAGCATTATCTTCCTGTGCTTGAAAACAAAGGATTTAGTTCAGTAATAATATTGCATCATATTAGCAAGCAGAAGGACATTATAAACAGAATCATAAAGATGTTGTTTGGGAGGGACCGCTTGTCTCACTGGTCGCTGAAAGTAGCGTTATTCCCCCACACATTTTATTGCCAACAAAGATTCTTCTTAGCAAGTCCCAGAGTCCTTGTTCTGATGCCTGTCGTCCCAGCCACCGTGAGATCCAGCCCTTGGGGATGGCTGGAGTCCTGCAGCCCATGTTTTTATTGGGCGTTTAAAATTCCCAGTGAGGACTAGAGCCAGGTCAGGAGATTTTTTGGCTGTTTAGAGAAGGCTTTATCCACTTGGTCCTGGTTCTCAGGTGGTCTGTAACAGGATGTGGCCACATCTCTTGTATTGTTTTTGTCTGATCTTGACCCAGAACCTCCCAAAGTGAAGTCAAGTGGATTCCGTTTGTTCCCAATGGACCATCTTCAGCAAACAAGACTTCATGTTCAAGGAGGCTGTGTCTTCCCGCTGATACCACCTGAGCCTTTCCTCTTCCAAACTGGAAGGATCAAGTGCACAGGCTACAGCATCAGGCATTGTCCCCTCTCACCTCTCTTTTTCCAAGAATGGGCAAGGCTGCCCACTTGGACGAGCAGCAAGGGATAGTAGTTGGAGTTGGCTGCCTTTGTATCTCTGCATGTTTTGTTAGTCACCTTATTTTTGTTTGCACCTCCTGGTTGCTAGCGGTCCCTAGGTGCCAGGCAAATATGACATTGGAAGTCTGCTTGCCCCTCTGGGAGCTTTTCTCCTGAGTGCATTTGCCTGTTACCAGCATCCCATCATACACTGCCTTCCTCCTGTGCTGCAGTCCAGCAGTACTTCTGTCAAGTGGGGGGACTGAGTAAGAGACACACAGTTATTCTGCATCATTCCTGGGTCCAGGGTGCCCAAGCAGACAGTTAACCTCATGGGGCAGCTTTATGGTACTGTGCCTTTCTAAGTCCCTTTAAATTCAGGGAATTTAAAAGTCGTGTTTTGAAGTGATGTATCAAAGTTACTTGCCATTCACTACCACATGGGTCACTGGAGGGTGACTTTCTGAATTGCA